ATTATTATGTTTTATTTTGTATACTGTACACACTGAAAAATTATAATATGAAGATGAAATACAATTCATTTATTAGAAAAATCAACGGAAACCTAAACACATTACGATTTGCGCAATACAAAAATATGAATGTTTGTCAGCTGAACAATGGAGGACCTTAAAGTTTATTTGGTTATTTGTTATTACTATAGTAAAACATGATAATATCTTCATGTCATATAATACTAGTCAAAAACATTGAGTGGAGTTCGAATATTGATTTTATTTCTTCGGACCATATGAGTATGTAACTTAGACCACCGTCATATGCCATCGAGAATAGCCATTAACTCTGACTTGCAGGTGTCGAATATCAATTTGAAACTAGATACCTATCTAAAAATATGACAGCATTCATCATCGGTAAAGTTCATAACATGATGAGAATATGTTTGCTTTAGCTATACGTGTGTATTTTACTCAGTGTGATTTTATTTCAAAGCTGTAGAAAATGTTAATGGACAACAATAATTAGATTTCGTAATTTTCAAAAAAATATGATCAACTTCTTCGAATACTACGGTTCAAAGTTTTACAGCTACCCACCAATTCATATTTAACATACTTTATACTCTTAAACCTGCATGATGTAACCTTATGATGTAGTTTCTTACCGCGATTACCGTACGAAATAATTAAAACATTTTTTCCCTGCGAACAACAGATATATAATAAAAGAATGGTCTTCATTTATATTCAATTTATCAATGCAAATAAATTTGATTTGAAAAATAAAACGAGTATACAATAAAAGAGTATTAACGGCAATGGGTATTATAAAAAAAATGATTAAATGATAAAAAAATTAATTTCATCCATTGTAAATATTTTGCTGAGTGATAACTGCAGTGAACCGAGAGCGACATGTTTTCACCATAAAAACCCTGAACTTGATACGTAAATTGAATCTCGAAACGAATTTGAATAAAATATTCTATTTGCGAAGTAAAATTATGTTCATATTAAGTATACACTATGTACATTGTACGGGTTATGAAATGCAAACATTTTTCTTGCCCTGCACGGGTCAGCATGATAATGTAATATACGTATTATATATACTCGATAACATTTTTTTTACATAACAATCCAAGATCGGCATATAATAAACCCTCGAGTATGACTCGATAAATATCCAATCGTAATAATATAATGTTTTGTACCGAATATTAATCTTACACGATAATTATTACAATAGATTAATGTTTAGTTAACATTATTAAAGCCCAGACCTAACCACTTCGTATACGAAACGTACGGTTATAGTTGTCTGCATTCAAATTATTTTTTTTTTTTATGTAAGATATTTACATAACAATGATTCCCTATAAAAGGTCAATGCACTAATACATAACAAGATACGCACGAGTTAATTTATTAAAAAAAATTACGACGATGATAAAAAAAAAGAATAGCCAAAATCATTATCTCTATAGGTTACACAAAAATTACAATGCACGTTCATGAAATTTTACTGCGAATTTTTTTTTGTTCTCTTAAATTTTACCTATATATAATAATTATCAACCGGACACCTGCAGGTGACATATACCGCACATCTAACACGTCATTTTATCTGAAATTTTTTACATTGGATTCGATTCATAATAATGTCTAGTAAAATTTGTCTACTTATCTATATCATAAATTATACAGATATTTTTTTTATCTAATTTCGTGATCAGTACTCAGTAGTAACATGTATCAAAGTAATTTTGTGGGATTAATAACTTATTACTTAATGTGTAAGGTCAAACAGCCATTGTCTTTTTACAACTCTCTCTCTCTCAAGTCTGCTCATATGTCGTATATTATGTTATAATATAGGATAGGTACTTTCTATCATGGTTGGAATGAAATAATTGAATTGAGCACCAATAAATAAACCTTATTATTATTACGAAACGTACCTACATCGAAGGAAACAATTTTAAGTACAGTTTATATTGTTTTTTATGAAACCATTTTTAACCGGAATTCGAATGATAATTTTATTTTTTTATCTCTGAGAAGCAATATGAGTTATTTCGATACATTTTATTCGACGTCTCGATTTTGAATCATTTAACCCTTGGCCATTATCTGACGTAGTGAATTTAGAATTTGTTATGAACTGTCCACAGTGATGTACCAATAAATATATGGTGGAGAGGGGAAGTAATGGATACCATGTTCAGAAGGGGGGGATTTATATAGTCGTATAAGATGGAAACTATATAGTTTGGCAGTAAACGGTCATTTCATATAATAATTTATCTGCAAACAAAATAAAAACGTTATTGCTCGTCACAATAATATGCGCGTTTTATTTTTCATCATTGTTGGAATGAAAAATATGAACTCGCCCGTATGTTTAATAAACATATTATTGTTATTACTCGTTGCAGTTATTATATATTACGATATTTGCAAGATAGTAGTTTGCTTTTTCTCGATGAGGTTTTTTATGCAGGCGCTGAGGAATATTTGAGATTTCCATAGCACAATACGACAAATGACGACGAATATAACGCGAATAATAATAATATTGTCCAAGTGTTTTAGTATGCTAGCACGCACATCATCATCTCCCAGTGCTACAACAATAATATTATACAGACTTAAAACAACATCCGACAACTGTGTCCCTTTTATTAAATTTGATACTCTTTGTAAATAACTTTTCCCAAAAGTCAAGACTGTCTAGAACGAATATTAGATTCTCTGGAAATTGATTACGCACCTGGTAAATATATTATATCGCTGGCGAAAATGTCTGTCACTGCTCTGATAGCTTTTCGAATCTGACGATGCGACAATCACGATCGGCTGTGTGAAACTTACTATGGACTGACGCGAGTTATCCAATATTGCACGACAAGCAAATCAAGCAAAATATGAAATCTCTACAATAGGCAATGTTATGGAGTTTTCTGGTATAAATAAATCTGATTGAAATCGGTAAACGTTTTTGGGTATAAAAAAGTGCACTACTTCGAGCAAAGTGTATTGTATTCTGACTTGATGCGTTTTCGTTGTACGTGTGTTATATTATTATAATGATTAATGTTCGTATTTCGTAACGTTTTCGTTAATATACGATTATGGCAGTCTTGTACCATAATAATGGTATACTAATATGAGTGTCGAATTAAATAACAATTTCAAAACATCTTCACTTTTGCGTTTGAAGTTTTGATAATAAACAATACCAGTGTACGTCTGTAACAGCTGGTGCGGTGTTCACTTGTTTTTTTCCCGGTCAATGAGATAAGCTTGGTGATTAAATAATATTTGAAGTTCAATGACTGATTTTAGAGGTTATACCTAACATGAGGTCCAAAATGATAGAACACTATTTAAAAATCTAGCTATATGCCTATAATAACCATCGTGATATACATATACGCGTGTGCACAACGACACGAAATTAAATAACCACACGAATACTCAGGGTTGTTTTTAAGATATTCCATACTAGAGGAGCTGGGTTCTCAAACTTTTTTTTCCGCTCTCGCGTATTAACATCATAACAGACAACAGTGATATTACGTGCGCTTAAGTTTAACAAGTATTACTATAGTATTATTATCAAACTCGGGTGCGGTGATTAGACAGCGCCGTAGAAATGTTATTCCGATATTTCAGATGAGATGGGTGTGATAAGGTGTGAGGCCCGGTATGGATCGGTCAAATGATTAGAAAAAGTACTCATCAAAACTTCAATATATATTTATTTTAATTAACAACAACTGCAGTTTATTTAGTACCTAATTACACAAAACAATTATTATTTAGATCAATTACAAAACATACAAGTATACATACAATATTAATTTATTAATTTTTCGTGCTATCATAGCACACGCTCTTCGAGTACCACCAATTCATTTGAGAACCTCTGATCTATATCGATATCAGGTACATCCAATATAACATTTTAATAATTATCAATTTGAAAAAATATAGAATGAAAATTATTATCATGAGACACCACGGATGACGGTGTTAGCATATTGTTATTATTTTTTAGTAATTACATTTCGGGAGCACTAAGTCTGTTTATTTTTTCTAATTTGTTTTCAAGTTGAGAATTTTTTTCTTATATAAAAAGATAAATGCTTATTATGTTATAAATATTACAATGTCAATATGTATTTCTCATCTATTTTTCATTTGTCAAAATAAAATTTATATTACAATATTATTATCTATACGTTATAAAACGATAAAAGCACTCAGCTAAAAATAATACTATTCCTTAAAAGTAAAACAATAATAACTCAAAAGATTGAATTTTTATAAAAACTAATTTTTTTTTATTATTAGCAGTATATTGTCCTCAGTATTGCCTACTATTGATATAATACATAAATAGTACTATAACTATAATATACTATAATAATACTATACTATACTATAATCAATGGTATTAATTATTTGAAATTGCTTAACGAATAAATACTTTTAAATCGCATAATTTATTATGATAGTATAAGGTACCAGGTACATACAATAAAAATAACCAATATTATTATGGGTATGATTACTATTATATTATTTTTAATGTATAATTTTTTATAAATAATTTCAAAAGGATGTTAATGGATAAATATGAGTAAAAGTAAAAAAAAAATGTGTTTGTGTATCTTTAAAAAACCTATTTAAGAAATAAGGTGATATTTTAATCATGATAACCCATTGTCTTCGACACGTCCAGGATTAGAGTTCGTCACGTTTCACATACAAATCCGATAGAATATGGTAGATCAATTTTTATTTGTTTTATATTTTTATTATCTATAAAGGCACGTAGATAATTTGCTTATATAAATAGAGACAGAGTTTCAAATATTGACACTTCTTCAGAATAGGTATTGAGAGTACATAATTTATATTTAGAATATATATACGTAACAGTATACAATAAATACGTAAAAGTGCATTAAAGTAATTTTTTTTTAAATTTAAATTTAAAAATCATGAACATTCTGTCGACGTTATCCATCATGTTGTTTTCCATTATGCAGGTAATTATTAAATGATAAGTTGTTTGAAAATTGATAAAATAAAAATGTTGAACGATAACTGGAAGTATAGAAGTTAAAAGCCGTATAATACAGACAAATACGAATTAGTTTCCAGATAGGGTATACCTACCTACCTATTTATTATTAAATAATATATCTTTAACGAACGAAACGAAAAATTAAACACAAATATTTATGGAGAAATAATATTCAACAAAATTTAATATGTAAATATTATTTGAAAAATCTAACTATAGAAAGTTTTTTTTATTTTATTAATTCTGGTAAATAATTTATTAGTTTTGATTTACATTCAGAGTAGGAACAACGCAACTTTTGGTTATACAATATAATAATAATACAAAAAGTACTATGAATAATTCAGATACAAAAGTTTTCAAGATTTTTTTTATAGGTTTTTTTTGATTCAAATTAAACATAGTCGGTACTTTGTAGTTTACTTATTATAGCTGTACAGACATAATACAAGATGATGATGACGGATCATTTTTTAAATTTAACAGGGATTATTTGTAAACATAAATATTCAGACTTTGATTTTTGAATTTCAAATATAATACTATTTTATAATGTACATGAATAAAATTGAAATTGAATAAAAAATATCGAGGAGATTTTATCAAAGCCCTAACTCCATAATTGTATAACCAAATACATTATTCATAATAAAGTGAAAGTAATATATTTAAAATCGTTTTGACAAAATCAATTTAGTATCAAGTCAAAATGCTGAACGAATTACGAAGATTTATTATTTGGACTATGTGTGTGGGGTATCTAACATAATATTATAGTCACATATTCACGGTGTAGGGAAGCATATGGTGAAAATAGTTTCCATATCGCCGTCGGTTCTTAATCAAAATTAAAGTAATATCGGTACTAGTTAAGGATGGGCAAGTTACTCGATTAGTTTTAATTTTATAAGTAACAAGTTACACCAAAATTGAGAAGTTTTATTATCAAGTTACACGGTGTTTTATCTTTATTAGTTGTGATGGATCAGTCTAGATGAAAATAGTTAACTACTCAGTTTAATATTATAACATGATTTATTACTTATGTTATTCACTACGACCGTATGAGTGCCTCATGACAGTTCTTAATGAAAGTTACATTAATACATGTTAATACAAAAACTTATATATTGGGGGACGGAGTGGCCGAGCTGGCTAAGGCGTCGGGTTCGAACCCCGGCTACGGGCGGCACTTCTTTTTGAGCAGTCAAGGTGTCTGGAGGGAGAGGACTCCATCCTTCACCCGGGCATGGCAGATACCTACAGGTGCCCACTTGAAAATTCTGTCTACCTAAAACACACTTGCTCAAAACCTATAGTATCCTCCCCCACAGTTAAAAACCACCCAATGGCATAAGTTGCCGCGGGTTAATTAATGAACAAAATAAAAAAAAAACTTATAAAACCTAACTTCTCAGCGTAGTGATGATAATTGTTATGATAATACTAATAATAATGATAAGAATAATCTTGATATGAATATAATATAATATATAATCATTTAACAACAAAGATACTTAGAAATATCTGTAACTGGTTACAAGTTACAGTTACAGTAACTTGGTTACATTTAAAGTTATAAGTTACTTAATATTTATTTTTATTTCTTTAAGAAAATAATAGCATTACTAAATATTTTTTTGTACAAGGGGTTCATGAGAAAATGTATTATGTAGGTTATAAGATTTAAAATGATTAACATTGACATTTATTAAAACATTGGTTTCATTATGTAACAAAATAATTGATATTATGTATGATTGAGTATGTAAAATAAAAAAAAAACCATAGATAAGGAAAAAGATAAGGACCTATTAAGTTTAGTTCTCAAAGCAGAATCCTTTGATCACACGTGTTGTATGATCAAATGATTCTGTTCAAATTTTTGAATTAATTGGTAATAATGTATACTATAAATGTATTTATAAAAACCAATTATCATACAGATGTTTATTATATAACACGTTTTAGTATTTAAAAAGTGGGTAAATAGGTAATCACTCTGCTGTACAGTTGGAGTTGAATGTTCCTTGTCATTGAGGTCACTATAATGGATGTGTTAAATTATAATTCATCAATTAATCAATAATCATTGCATACGAAAACCGATTCTGAGTGGAGACAATCTGTCTTATATTATTAAATTTACTTTAAATATACAATTTGTATTGCTATTTTAATAAAATAATTTATTTTTATTTTAGTTTTACTTTATAAAGATGGTATTTATAATTTATAATTAAACTTAATATTTTGAAAATGTAATTTCATAGATATAGTAAAATTTAATAATACACGTAGAAATGTCATGTCCCAAGAATATATTTTAATTTCAACGAAAGAACTAAAATTGTTATTCTTTGTTTTAATACCCAATTTCGTCAAAATTTGAAAAAAATATTATTATTTAAATTATTTAAAAATAATTAAGTGTCTATAAAAAAATCGAGACAATATAATTTTTAGATTTTTGAATTTCAGTAAGAACTACTTATGATTAACCTTTTATGAAATTGTCAAGCTTTAGATATGATTGTAATAGAAATACAATGAATCTTTTACCTTTTGTTTCCTAAAGTGCCAACTAGATTCATTTCCCTACAAGAAAAGATATTAAACAAGAATATTGCAATTGTGTAACAACTTTAACTAATATAAAAGGTGACGACAGACACATAAGAAAACACAGATCATTGTAAAATAGCTTCACTCAGAATTTAGAATTGTGACTTATACGATATTGGAATCATCTAATTATTATTTAAATATTAAATGTAACTTTTATTTAAAGTTACATTATATAAATTATTGTAAATTTGTAACGAGATAGGTACATATTTTTAATGTTACTGAAAATTACGCAACTGATTATACTAGTTACAAAATATGGAATTAGGTTACGTAATTTCTATACGTCATAATGATGATGTACTGATAACTACACAGCCCTGTACCTATATAGGTTTATTAAATGTAAATTAATTTTCAATATTGCATTGAAAAACAAATTGTCTCTAATAATAATATAGATACCAGATACCAATTAATACTTACTGAATTATATTTACTTTTTTAATTTTTATTGATATTTATTTATTTTTTCATAATATGCTTTGTTGTACTTTCTTAGAACAAAAACTTTATCGTTTCAGGTAAAAAGCGAGAATGTCTTATTCGATTCTAGCGATTGTCAAACGAAATGTCCGATTCGGCGTCAAACCATTCGATCATACCCGCCTGGTACAGCATTGTTTGTGGGTGACGAATGCGTATGTGGTAGAGAACAAGAAACCATATACGAATATGTACCACCTGTCGTCCAGTCCGTGGGAAACGTGGAAATTCCGGTGGGTGTCAAACCAAAAACGAATGAACTTCGGTCCAATAATCGGGTGATGGGAAATTACGGTTCTCTCGTGTTCTCGGGTAATGTTCAAATATTGAATTTACTAAGCATAAAAAACGACGACATCTATAAAGGATGTTGTGACCGCAAACCGTCAAATCCGTCGAGCGATAACCTAATAATGAGTAAACCTGTAGTTAATTTAACGACGACAATATCAGGATTTAAGGTAAAAAGTACAACACCTTCAGATGTCGAAAAATGCACGGACAAAGACGTTTCGATGGTTACAGAACCAGTACTTCAAAATGCGTTTACAGGAGTAACTAGCGATATTACCTCTGCGAATATTGTAACCGATGAATCAGATTTATCTGACAAGTCGTTCGAAAGTCCGGTGACACTAACGTCGTCAGACGTTGAAATACAAACGTCTACTGTTAATCCGAAACATAATGAAAATTGCACTACGACGAAAGATTCTACGACTTCGAAAATTGTTACACTCAATAACCGAAACGATGTGTTAGGTGCAACAAACAATAATTATTCGTATCACAACAATAAACCCGATTTAGAAATACTTATAATAAATTCTAATACAATACATTTTATAACCAACAACGATTAACGTTTAAAAACTTTATAATTTAATAATATTATTAGTAAGTATTAAAAGTGCAAAACAGCTCGACAAAGTTTTTTTTTTTTGACGATTAAATCTCATCAAGTTATCTCAATATGTGTTATACGATATTATTATTTTATAATGTATACCTTTTTTTTTTCTTATTATCGAGGACCGGGGAGAGAACCGCGATTTGCATTACAGCTCCCCGGGTTATGGTATATACCTAACATAATCTATATTAACGGATTTGTTTTCCGACTTTCCGAGGGTGACGAAAAACTGTTGTATGCACTTGTAGCACATTCTACTCTGTTTCAAACGAGTATTGGCAAGTTCGTGACATACTGACGGTACTTTTATAAGTTTATAGTTGTGTTTAAAATAAATCTTAATAAAAACTATTTGAGACAAAATAATATTACGTGTTGATTTCTATTTGTAAACAACTATTGATATTATTCGTTAACTTGGAATCAATAATTGAATAATTACAGCGTACTATTTAAATACTTAGTTAATTTTAATACGAGTCAGTGCAATGAAATCTAAACTATATAATTACATTTTTTTTAATACTATATTTTTGATTAACTGTGTAATAAATTATTGTCAATAATATAATAAAGAGATTATTTTCAAACCTGGATACACGATGTCAAATAAGTACCTACTCATATTGTTTGGTTAATAAGTTTTAATACTCACCTATTTTGGCAATTATTGTTGTTATTAATAATTGTTATTATTATTATATTTGAAACCATAAGCATATTATTGCTTAAGCATACAATAACTATTTTGGACAATTTGATTGGACATTACGAGTTATTATCCAGATCATAATAATATTTTATAGGTATTTTGTATTTAGTTAATAATAACTAACAGTATAATATAATATAGGTAGAATATAAAATAAATATAACGTGTTTCATGGATGAATTATCCTTAGTAGGTACACAAAATTAAATAACTCAAAAACGACTAGTTTCGGGTTTGATACAACATTTTCAAAAAAATCACCCACTTATTTAACAATTTAAAGAAAAAGGGTTACTTTCATATTTAAAAAAAAAGTTGATATCTACACAGGACACTCATCCAATTAGTCCTCCGTTAGTCGCTCGGTTTACATAATATGTACCACGGTATCTTATAAACAAAGTTTTTTAACAAAAATATTCAAAAATGATATCCAAACTTTCATGTACTTCTCTTAGATAGATATATATTTAAAATTATTTATTTTAGTTTTTGCTGTAGGTCAGGGGGTGTAACATGCTTGCCGAATCGCTACAGTGTTACACTAAAAATCAACATACAGCGTGATCATTTTACCAAGGTTTTCCAAACTTACTAATATATTTTACAGTACCTACCTATGTAAATACAATAAATTCTAACTTCAAAATGACTTTCGTTGAGATATACAGGATGTCCCGTGAGGATTTACTCATTGCGATATCTCCTGAAATAATAGAGATATCGTAATTCTGTTTTCTTATTAAGACTCACAGAGGTAAGCACTACAAATAACTAATTTTTTATTTTTTTTTTATGTTTTGGTAAAAAAGTTAAAAACATTATTTTTTTAATTAATTATTTAAAAAAATATTGAAGATTGCCATTTTGTAGAGTTCATTTTTCTGAAAATATTGATATCAACATTTTAATTTCATTAATTTCCTGATTTTTAATAATTTTTTTAATTAATAAATAAAACGGCAAAAAACCGGTTTTTGTCCGGGCGGCGAGTCCCCCTCTACGGCTAATAGGTAAATCCTCACGGGACACCCTGTATATATGTGAAACTGTCCATCCCCGCAGAGAAGTAAAAGTGACTATTTATGTTTCCTACCTTGACGTGGTGGATAATCCTCCGATAACGGGTTGCTCGTTTCGGCGTGTTCAAGACTCGTTTCGCCACTGCACAACAATAGCCAATATACCTATAGATGCAGTCCATTACATAATACCCACTCGGCGTATAAAATACGAACGGTGACTCAAAATCGGTTGGTCAGAGATCGAGATGAACGCCCAGAATTTCGTGTGTCATATTATTATGTATCGTTGCAGTGCGAAGGAACGAGCTTCCGTTAATCATTATCTTCACTTCCGGTTTGACGAAACGCATCTTCCGTTTCCGGCTGATGATTTCGAAACTTGTAAAGGAGGTAAGGTGCACATCTGCTGCAGTCACCGATATTTTTCATAGGTGTCCCGTACGAATATATCGACAATTCCACGAGCCTCCACGACGACGCCTGTTCGGAATTTATCGTATTTACTTACATAATATTATGTTTGGTAATCTCGAGTATAACTTATTGGTAAGACGGTCGCGCGACGTATAAATACTTTGAATAGACAGTAGTATTACGGTGTACAATTACGTATATATTATATATGTTATATATGAGTGGGTTGTCGAGAGATATCATTTAAACTCAATGAAAAATTAATTATTTTTAACGAAATTACGATTTTATATGTTTATTTTCTGTAATGAGGTCGAAACGTGTAGCTCCCAATATTGTGATTGGTTTTTGAACAAGACGCGATCTGCCAACAACGTCTAATAGGTATATTTAAAGTCCAGGGTTTTGAGGAAACCAGTTATAACCAGTTTAAAGCTCAGATTTTTATTTTCTAAAACCGTAACCGTAACCAAAACTGAAAGCTTGAAAAAAAAACGTTTATGGAACATAAACCAAAACCGTTAAAAGTAATATTGGTTTTTCAATAAGTGAATCACAGCCGTCATTATTGCGTTTAAAATTGAATACTGATTGTTTGATATACTACAGCCTACAACAATAACAAATGTTATATCTACAGATAAATTATAATGTTTGCATTAATTCTTGATGATATAAGCCTATTTATTTTACGAAGAGAATATATTTAAATGTTTTCATTATAACTGTAGGAAACTAGAGCTATAATGACTTGATTGACTAAAAAAAGCTTTTAATAAACCTATATTTGTGTTTTAAAAAATTGCTTAAACATGCTCAACAAAACACAATTTATTCAAAAGACGGTTTTTAAAACACGGTGAAGGAAAACAAAAATTTGCAGGGCTATAATATATTTATTGTTTCACAGCGTTTATATTACGTTTAACCTACTGTGAAATAAAAATGGTGGGATGAAAATATAATTGAAAAATATGCAAACTCCTAAGGCTAGGTTAAATAAAAATAGGTCAATGCAATTACTGCACATAAAAAAGAATAAACCAAAACCGTCAAAATAATGTAAGCTCGGGTTTAAATTACCTGTCATGTTGGGTAGTGGGTTAATTATCCCGGTCAGGAAACCAAGTACTAATCCATAATTAAAAAATAAGAAGGACTAAAACAAAATATCTAACAAATGTATTTTGTTATTTAGATAAAAACCAAATTAAATTTGAGAAAATATTCTTTTTATTTTTTAATGTTTTTTGAGCTTTGGTCGTCAAAGGGTTAAATAACATTGTGCTGAAGCATGGCATAAAATACATACGGTTATATGACTTGACACACGCTATAACCTAAAACGTCTTACTCTCGCACTCTCCTAAGCTAATGACAGTAATATCCAAAATTATACTTGGCAAGCACTGTTAACTTGAGATGAGGAGAGATGGCATTCATTTGTCGTTTTACGTCCGTGCCATTAGGAGTTTGTAGACCTTATTGACCCCATTAATACCCCTGCGCTGTTCAGCCCTAGTGTTGGGTTTTCGAGAAATTTCCGGGAATAGCAAAAACTGTCAAGAATGACAATTTTTTTCGGCAATTATTTTTTGTTATAATAAGGAATCACTTTTTTTGATATATGTATTTTTTACATAAGTATAAAAATATATAATTTTAATAATTTCAAATGAATGTATTATAAAATCTTACAATATAATATTTTCAGCAGAAAAAATAGTTATTTTGTATATTATTTCTTCGGAGTAAGTACTTATATGGTTATATTATATTATATGTACTACATATATACTGATGAAACCTTTTAAAATTGTTTATTTTATTTGAGAGGAAATTATATTTATTTTTTGTGTAAATATAATTTTAAAAAAAAATTAGATAATTGTAATGGAGCCCATTGATTCCAAAAATATAGCATCGATTCCGTTAGTACAGGTACGTAATATACCTATATTCCTATTGAAACCCAATTTTTATATTTTTAAGCAGCAGTATAAGTGATTTTTCAAATGGAAATTTAGCTTGAATATTGAAATGATATACCTACACCATTATTTAGCTTTATGGTGCGTAAACTACATACAGTATAATTTCTGTATATGATTCCCGTAAACTGCACATCCCTTTTCAGCCCTAAAAGGCTAAAATCTCATTGACTATAATATGATATTTATACCTCTGCGTTTCAGTCATAAAGGTATAGAACGTTAAACGATTGCACTAAAGTTTATCACAATTTCTGGTCGGAAACCCTTTTATTACATTCAAACAAACATAATATAATATTTCACCGAATTCCGTACACCATTCGTTCGCCTCTACATATATACGACCGTTACACAAACACACACTCCTGTCAAAGTCTATGAGACTCTCCTAGCACACACTGCAGTGGTGGCTTTAAATAACAAACTATGATGTCGCCTCAGCACGCTTTGCTTCTCTTTGATGCCTATGTTAGTGACTATTACATGCTAAAAATATATTATATTATACATATTATTATATCAAAATGTCGTGTTCCTATGCTACGTATAAATTATAATATTATAATATTAATAATAATGTATATGTCCTATAGTATACGACACCACATAGAACCGGATTCGCAGCTACGCCATGTATCGTGTCGATCAAACCGCATTGCGATTGGAAGTTACTTTTTTGGTATTATGTGTAATAACCATAGGCGCAAACATAGGCGTAATCTCGGGGGTGCAAAGGGGTGCACTTGCACCCCCTGGAATTGTTGAGGGGGTGCAAAACTATCATTTTGCACCCCCTAAATTTTCT